CTCAAAATCAATTTTTTCTTTTTTAACATTGTTCATTTAACGATAATAAAGCCATCCAACAAAATTGGAAATGACAAAATCATTCTAAGGCCTAAATCTAAGCATCTCACCAAAATGAACGGCCTATGTTAATTGGGCTAAAAAAATACTTCTAGGCTGTGTTTTCAATTTTTTTTTTTTTTGTGATTGTTCATTAGAGTGAAAAGAGTATATATTTCAAAATTTGGATCAAACAAATGGCCATAAGATGGTTTTTTAACGTTGCTGCATCATATTACTATACAACGGTTGCATGATATCATTGCTCATTATAAAAAGGTGCGGTTTGTATAGAGCTGAGGCTCTAAACAATTAAAATAAAGCGTACCTTCAAATAGTGTCGATAAATATGGTTTCAAAACTGAAAATCTTTGTGATAGCCTTAAAATATCTTTTCATCTTTAATTAAAAAATTTAAAGCTTCAAAAATAGTATGGATCTATTCTATAAAAACTTAAAAATCTTGAAAATTGAGTTACAAGATCACTATTTCAAAAACTTAGTATCCATTTTTTTTTCTCATATCCATGCATCTTGATGTCGAGATAATAAATTTTAAGATATTTAGGCATCAAAACAACCTCTTCTAGTAATTTTTTTTTGAGATGGACTCTAATTTGGGCTCTTATAAAATTCTTATAATGTGAGCATCCTAAAGTAACCGTTTTAAATATTAAGTATTTTTATGTAAGCGTAAATTTCCCAAAATAAAGGAAAAAAAGAACGCGTATAGGTGAAGCATAACCCTCAAGGGAAGAAAAGTAAATACGCAATCTATAAGGATATTTCGTAAAATTAATAATAATTGTTAGGGGCTGTTTAGTCATTACTACCAACGGCAAAAAGCGGGTACCATATTCCCCCCCCTCTCCCCCTGTGCAGATGGATATAAAGAGAGAAGAGCAGGTGGTCAAAAAAAAGGTACAACAGGCGGGAGGAAGCATGGTAAAAGGAAAAATAATTTGTTTGAAGCTCTGCGTTTCTCTCTCTGGTTGCCGCTTCTATTGGAACAGTTTCTTCTCTTTCTCTCTCCTAGTACTCTCCTAGTAAAATTGGGCCTTTTGTGTGGAGTTTTTAGAGAGAGAAAGCCAGGAGAAATACTGCGGCGATGTGACTTTGGAGAGTGGGCGGCGATGTGACTTTGGAGAGTTGTGACTTTGGAGTGTGGACTGGTAAGAAGAACCCTTATTTTGAATATGTGATTCCCTGTTTTGCGGTTTTAAATGTTTTGTGGGTTTGCTCTCATCAAACTGTAATAATGGTTGCAGGTGTAGGGGTAATTTATTTTTCGTTTTGCCAACAAATGGGTTGAATTTGTTGTTGGTAAGGCTTTTTTGTTCGAGTTTAGGGAAAAAAGCTTCCTTTTTTTTTAACCGTTTCTCTCTCTTTCTTCTTCTCTTCATGTTTGTTGGTTGGTTTGTGTTTCTTTCTTATTTTTGTTGATGCATGTCATGGAACTAATAGGTATGCTGTCCAGTAACGATATTACAAATAGTGAGTGCTCAAAATGGAGCACAAGAATGATTCTATAGGTGTGGGCTCGGGGGAGCGAATTGGCTCGTTGGAAGAGAAGATGGGTTCTGACCACCGAGCTTCGTATTGGCTTGATGCCTGTGAAGACATTGATGATTTTATGAGTTGGGGAGAGCTTTCCGTTAAGACAGGGGAACCGCTGTCTTATGAGAAGATAGATAATGGTAATGCATCACGTGATTCTTTTTTCGAAGCGTCTAGCCAGGAAATCAACCCCATTTGTGAAGCACCAATTGATTCCAGCTTCTTCAAGGGAATTGATCAGTTCTTTGATAATGTGAGGAGTGATGTGTGTGTTAGTGCAGGGTCCGAGACCTTGAATGGGGAGAATCAGTCTTTGAATGATGGATTGTTGATTGACAATATGAGAAATTTGGAGGAGAGCTGTAGTCCACTGCGTTATTTAGAGGGCGTTGAGCAACATTGCATTGAGAAATCTGAAATTGACGTTAAAGAGCTTATGAAGGAGACCCATAGTTGTGGAACAACTCCTCCCCTCTCACATTTTAATGGCGACTCTAATTGTGGCCAAAACAAGAGGTCGAACACCACTGGTGCATTGGTTGATGTGGAAAGAAGAATTGATGGGCCCAAGGAAATAGAGATTAAAGGGCCTAGAGAGAGGGACTGGAAGTCGGTGGATAGGAATAACAAGAGATCATGTAACGGTGAAACCATTGATGAAAGGCATTATTCGGTTTGTCGCCGTGAATTTTCTAGAGAGAGAAGTTCTTCTTGCAGGAAGAGAGGGCGGGATTCGGAAGATATGGAGCGGGGGGGAATAGCTAGGATCAAAAGGGAAAGGGGAAGTAGTGAGAGGAGAGACAGGGATTGCTGTTATCGAAAGAGATGTAGTGATTCAGAAGAGATGCAAAGAGAGGAGATGGGTAGAGGCAAAGTAGAGAGGGGAGCTAGCGAGAGGAGAGATAGAGATTGGAGGGGTAGAGATAAAAGAGGGTATTGGGAGAGGGATAGATCTGGGAAGATGGTTTTTCGACATGGTACTTGGGAGGCTGATCCTGAGAGAGACTCAATGAGAGCTAGAGAGAAGCAGAGATTCTCAGATAAAGTTAGCAGTCCTGAAAAGAAATTCGATGAGAAGAAAGAGAAACCTGCAGAAGAGCAGGCTAGGAAATACCAGTTAGATGTTTTGGAGCAAGCAAAAATGAAGAACACAATAGCTTTTCTGGAGACTGGTGCAGGAAAGACCCTTATAGCTGTTCTTCTAATCAAAAGTGTTTACAAGAAAATGCTCAGTGACAATAAGAAGATTCTGGCCATATTTTTGGTCCCAAAGGTCCCTCTCGTGTACCAGGTATTGCAACTATCTCCCTCTTGTTTCTCTATAGCTTGCTATCTTGTTAATATTCTCTTCTATTGGCAAACACAACATCAAACAGTAATAAATTGCTACCTATAACATAAGAGATTAAACACTTTATCCATAACGAATTATATTTTTTTGTTGCCTTTAAGCCTATTGTTTTTATAAGGCTATCATTCTTGTGCATTTTACATTTCTTTATTGAATTTCTGGATGGTGTTGATCGTTTCCTTTCATGAGCATGTCTGTAGGCTCCCCATTCTTTCAGTTATTGAATATTTTCCATGTTTCTTAGGGAATATTCAGTGCATTTCTTTATTGATTCATTTGAATTTCTGGATGGTTTGGATCGTTTTCTTTCACGAACCATGGGAAAAGTTTCTTGAGCATGTTTCTTAGGTGAATATTTCAGTCATGTTCTTGTCTCATGGCATAAGATTTTTTCTTGACAAATTGTTTCTGCATAAGATTTTTTCTCGACGAATTGTTTCTGCTGGTGATTTGCGTTTTCCTTTTCTTCCCAGCAAGCTGAAGTTATACGTGAAGGAACTGGTTACAATGTTGGTCATTATTGTGGTGAGATGGGTCAGGACTTTTGGGATGCCCGAAGGTGGCAACGTGAGTTTGAGTCAAAAGAGGTACGAAATATGCTTATTATCATGTTTTTTCTTTCTTTAGATGGGCAATGTGTTCAAACTATCAGGTCTCCTCATGGTATTATATTTGATTCGTAAAACTTTAGAAATGCAGTCTTTTGATTTTTCCATTTCTATGATTGTATTTCATATCCTTTCACCTGACTTTCGTGCCCCAGATGCCACCATGCATAGCCTTTATGATGATTATGAGATTGTATACTCTATTTTAGGTAATATATGCTATATACTTTCACTCAATAGAACATACCAATCTATGTTTATTGATGTAATGCTATGATTTACTGTCACCTTTGGCTAGATACCTATGCATCAGAAATCCCCAGCATTCTGTTATGTTAGACGTACTTTCGCTTGCATAGAATGAAACTTTTGTTTGGCCTGTGGGTATATGAGAGTTCCTAAGCACTCTTGCGTTAGAGCTAGATGCGCTTGCATCAGAAGTTTACTATATTCTATTACATAGACGTATTTTTCCTTGAGAAGAATGAAACTCATATTTGGCTTGTCTCATGCTCCAATTCTTGCGCAAGAGCTGAATTTTGCATGAGTGCAGAGTGCTGCACTTATACTTTGTCCTTATGTTATTTAACATTCCTTTATGCCTTTCAATGTTGTATAGCTCAATTGTGATGGTTGCCTGAATTATTGGTTTGTCGGTTGGATTAGTCCTTGTTGGCTTTTTCAAATTCCATTCAGTCAAAGGGGGAAGATCTCTTCTTGCCTAAGACACCTGGTGATTTGTACTTCCATTCAGAAACTTTGGAGGGACCGTTTATCAAGAGACTTGGGTAGAGGATATGCAATATATGCCTCAATTTATCTCCTCCATCCAAGATTTTAACCCCTTGTCCTAACATGTAATCTAGGAAGTTTTAATCTTGATGGAACACTGGTCTTCACCATATCTATCTTGCAAACAAACTCTGACATTCATCCCTATGCCCTTGACCTCGGGAGTCGTGTTCCACCAAAATGACATCTATTGGTTACTGAGGTGCGATAGCATTTATTGGAAACTTTGGAAAAGTAACTTTGCGTTCATACAAATTGATATTATATTTGTTGACCCCTATGAAAACTCCCTTCAATGGAGAGAGAAATGAATTGTTTGATATTTCTTAGAAGAATCGACAGAACATGCCCCATATCACATACACACTGCCATAAGATCGATAGACCAAAAGTCCTTGAAATCCATTGCCCAAACATGGATGAAAAATGTCTCATCCGTGCTCCTGTTTGTCTGTTTATTTTCATTGAACTCATGGTTCCTCTGAAAACCCGTATATTTCTGCACAAAGCTATGGTGAAGCTGTCCAGCCCAAAGTTACCGGGACGGGGAGCAAGGGTGGCTCCTTGATTAGAAGCAGGACCGCGGGATCGAGGGAGGCTTGATGGTCTGTAGATGAGAGATCTAGATCCCTACATCATAAGTAAAGGGATTGAGTTCCCCAACATTAAGGGAGCTCAATCTGAACTGGCTCAAGGAGAGAACTCTAAACAATATGGGAATGTGATTCGTCAAGTCCAGGATCAAGGCTCTCATCACGCTTAGGATCGAGGATCCTGGAGTTCACATAACTATGGTACTCTGCTTCGAGGATGAATTCCATTGAACAATATGATAATTTTTCTGAATTAAAGAAAACCAAATTATCATTAAATACTAGAATCTTGTCTTTAAAATTCTCTTTGAATTTTTGTTGTAATTGGTATGTATTTTGTTCATAAGAAGAGAAACTTAAGTCCAATATGAGGATGTAAGTCTCAAGTCGTCGGGCATGAAATGAGCTTAGTGTCCTTCAAATTCCTCGATGGGGGACATTGTGGTCTCTCTCTCTCTCCCTCCTCCCTCTCAGTGACAAGAATGAACTCTCTTATCTACCCTAATGGGGGTGAACTGAAGCCGGTGAAATGACAAACAGCAGGAACAACGAGGAGGCACTTCACAGAGACCATCATATTCGTTCAATACAATGAAAGAACCTTTTTTAGCTATTGAATTCATACAATACACATCCTGTGTGTGGTGTTATGCACATCTGTAGTCATCAATTGTATGTTATCAAGTTAGACAGTGGACATGAACCATATTCTTGGTAAATGCAGGTTCTTAGAACTGAGCTACTATTTGACTACCCTTAAGGATGGACCGTCGATGCTGGGTTAGTGATACACACATGCTCATACCAGAGGCAGGTTGTATGTGATATTATATTTGGGGTTTCCCATTTTAATGAATTTTTACTATAATCATTCGCCCACACTATTTAGAATCTAGGTTCTTGTTACTCCTGGATCCCATGATTTTAAAGATAGGGATCTGGATCCCATTAACTTGGGATTTAGATCCTCAATTTTGCAGATCAAAATCCTTAATTTTGTGAATCAAGATCCTCAAATTTTCTGATCGAGATCCCCAAATTAAAGAAACTCTTGGAATCGAGATCCGGTGTTTTGGAGCTCTAGTCGAGCTTCTAAAGCTGGATCAACCACTTGGTTGGGAGATCCCAGTAACTATGGTCTTGCTGGGGCTTTATCTTGTCAAAAGGTGAGGACTACCTTCACATCTCATCATCAGAGCTAAGTGCTGTTCATTATATCATCCCTTTTAGAATACTCTATTTCTTTACCATTTCTAACTAGTACTAAATCTTAAATATACATACAACCATTTATGTTAAGATTGAGGGAGAAGAGAAGAGAGAGAAAGTAATATTCAAGCACAAGATTGTGTAAATATAGATGTCTTTTCACTCTACACACATCATGGGGCAATGTGGCTTATATATAGACATGGATCCCTTATGGGATTACAATATATGTCAACATGCATAGGGGTTACAACAGAAAAATCGTCCAAACAGAGTAGAATAGTATACACATTTGGTTTATTTTGAGTTTCCAAAAGTGCATGGATCATTGGTTAATGTGCATTATTACCACGTGTAGGTTTCTATAATGGGCATGGGGCCCACAATAGTGCATTGCAAGTTTCTTTAATAATTGTGGCCCTATCACAATCACTGCACTTGCCTCAAGCTGGAACATATATATCATAAATGCGCAACTTGCCTGAAGTATCTTTTAGTGGAACTCGATTAGAAGCCTTGGCAAGTACGTTGGCCAATTGATTCTCGGAGCAAACAAATGGAGTACTTATTGTCTTTGAAGCAACCTTTTTTGTGATGAAACAATCGATCTCAATGTGTTTGGTTCTTTTATGAAATAGAGGATTGAGGCTATATAAATTGCCGCTTGATTATCACAATGTAGAGGAATAGGAACTGAATTGATACATTAACACCCATCTCTTGAAGAAGAGAACGGAGCCAAATTATTTCACATGTAGCACTTGCTATTGCTCGATACTTGGCTTCTTCTAAAGATCGAGCTAGAATACTCTGCTTCTAACTCTTTCAGTTGACTAAATTACCACCCACAGTCATAAAGTGCCATTGGTAGATCGTCAATCAAGAAAATACCCTGCCCAATATGCATCTCAGAATCCTTGTCGATCAAGGTGATTGTGACTGGTATAAAGTGGCACTCTGCCTGGAGCAGGTTTAAAATATCAGAAAATGTGATACACAACTTCCGAGTTATGGGAGCATGGTGGGTGCATAAAATGACTTCCACGCTTACATCATATGTAATGTTTGGCTGTGTGACAGTTAAATAAATAAGTCTACCCATTAATTTCTGATATACACCAGGGTTACTCCGGCGCTTTGACTGCTGACGATACAGTTTGTGATTAACCTCTGTGGTAGATTGTGCTGATTTGGCTCAAAGCATGCCTGTGTCATTGTGGAGATCAAGATTATACTTCATTTGAGACCAACAAGTTCCTTGTCTAGCTCTAGCCACCTCTATTCCAAGTATTTCTTTGGTCTGATATCCTTGATGTCAAAAACACCCAAGAAATCTTCCACTTTTTGAGTCTCGTGATCATTATTTCATGTGAGCACAATATCATCCACATGCACTATCATTATTGTGGTAGAAGAAGAATCTCTTTTAACAAATACAAAATGATCCAAGTTAGTGACCATTGAGAAAGACTCCATGAATGTGATTGCTTGGGCCAACAACTCCTCCCCCCCTTGTTGGGTTTTAGGGCACATTTTTTATGAGATTTAACACCTTGGCAGGGGGGTACATGCGTCTCATGGAAGCATATATGGAGGGAGTCAAATCAGGCAGCGGACGCCTTGGCTAAGGAAGCAGCAGCCTATAATGGATCTTAGGATCGTGTTTTGGATTTTTGGATCAGTTTCTTTTTCGTGGTTGCTCTGTCTTTATTATTGTAACCTTTAAAAAGAAGGCTATTGGATTCTGTCCTCTCCCTCCCCCCCCACCCCCGCTTCCCCCCACCCCTCCCCCCCTTTTTTTTACGAGGCCTCAATGTACTCTCACGTGGATAGCCGCTCTTACCCCCCCTTCTCTCTCTTCTTATCTCTTTGTACTCTTTTACTTATATATATATAACAGTTAACATTCTCAAAAAACAAATACAAAATGATCAGAAACACTCTTTTGAGTTCTAAACTGACATATTGGCATAAAGAATTTTTTTAACCGAGCCCGAGGTGATTGTTTCAATCCACATATAGCTTCGGTCCATATATAGCTTTCCTCAACATACAGATCTTTCCTTTCTCTCCTTGATGATAAAATCCAGGTGGTGATGCCTTGTACACTTCCTCTTGCAGATCTCATGGGGTCCAAAGGGTAGAGTGACCCTTTCCTGTTTATTGGAATAGATAAAATTGCTCTTACTGATTGCAATTTTGCTACACGAACAAAATTCTCCTTATAGTCAACTGCATATAACTGTGTAAAACCCTTAGCTACTAGACAAGCTTTGTTTCTCTCAACCGAACCATCTTGTTTGTGCTTTAGGGTACACACCTACCTGCATCCTACCACATTTTGTCGTTTTGGTGTATCAATTACATCCCAAGTTCACTGCGTCT